GCGCTGCACGCGCTCCTGGGGGGGAGGGGCCACGTGCTCCCCGGATTGGTGCGTGGGGCAGGGGCAGATGTTGGGTGCAGGCTCAGGCTTCCTATCCTGCTGCCCTCTCCCCAGAGCCTCTGCAGCGCAGCAGGTGGGAACCCAGCACAGGGGGCAGAGCAGGGCCAGGCAGGAAAGCTCCTTGCAACTGCTGGCAGCTCCACGCTGCCATGGCAAGGTGCCCCTGCCCACCTGGCAGCAGCGAGGGGCACAACTTCACGCTGCTGCCCCTGCTGCTGCTGGGTGGGCAGGGGGCGCCTCACCAGGACAGTGCAGGGCTCCCAGAGGCATGGAGCTTCCCTGCCCAGCCCCGCTCTGCCCTGCCCCCAGGTCCTGGGGTCTGGGGTCCTGGGGTCTACAGAGGCCCTAGGGGAAGGCAGCAGCGTGGGGAGCCCCAGCCCGCCATGGGCAGTCCCTCCCATGTGTTCTGCTTCAGTCATGCCACCCATGGAGGAGGGGGAACCAGGGTTCATGCTCCAGCCACCTCCCCTGGGCAATAGCCAGGGCTTGGGCATTGCTGTGGGTGACGGGGGGCTGCGGACCTGGTCCCTGGCAGCTTGGGGCCCCCTCCAGAAGGGCTTGCAGGGCATAGCAATGGGTGCCGAGGGGCTGCAGGGCTCTGCTGGGTTTGCAAGAGGCAGCCTTGTCTCCTGGCCCTCGGCACAGCCACCTGGGCAGCCTTTTCTGTTTAGAAGCCCCCTGGCTTTGGGTAGCCCTGGGGCATGGGAAGTATGGGCTTGAGGACGGAGGAAAACCCCCAAGCCACCTGCCAAAGCTGGGAAGCTGAGAAGGGTGCCCAGGCCTCTGTGTCTTTAAGAGCTGGGTTGGCTCCGTGCCTATCCCTCCCCTCTGCCAGACACAGCAGCAGCCTCATTTCCTCTTCTCAGGCTGCAGTTTCCTTACCCTGCCTAGGTGGCTGCTGCTCCGGCTTGGGGCGGGATGGCTTCCCCGGGGTCCCAGAAGCTGGAGGAGAAGCTGGTGTGCTCCATCTGCCTGGAGCTGTTCAGGGAAGCTGTGACCATCCCGTGCGGGCACAATTTCTGCCAGAAGTGCATCAGCAACCACTGGGACAAGCAGGAAAAGGAGGATCCCCGGGGAGAGGAGGCGTATACCTGCCCCGACTGCAGGAAGGGCTTCAAGACACGGCTGGAGCTCAAGAAGAACGTGTCCCTCTGCAGCGTGGTGGAGCTGGTCAAGGCGGGCGAGGTGCAGGCCTCCGGCATGGACGTGAAAGCCCCGGCTGACAGGGGGAAGTGCCCGCGGCATGGGCGGCCCCTGGAGCTGTACTGCCAGGAGGAGAAGGTGTGCATCTGCTGTGTGTGCATCGTGAAGGAGTGCCAGGACCACCACAGGGTCCTCCTCGAGGAGGAGCGCAAGAAGAAGCAGGTGGGTCCTGGCTCGGTCTCCTCTGGGACCTGCCCTGCATCCTTCAGGCCCTGGAGAGAGAGGCAAGCTCTGTGTCAGCCTGACAGAGGGGTGCTGTCGAGGTCGGGGTGCAGGTACTGCTGTGGTTAGAGCCTGGGCTGGGACACCAGGGTTCTCCATCAGACCCTGGCTTGCTGCGTGAGGCCTGCGTTGCATGTGCGCCTGTTCCTTAGTCCAGAAAGGAGAGCGTCCCAGCCCACCTACACTAAAGCACCTTGAGACCTTCCACTGTCTCGCTACCCAGAGGCTCAGCTCAAGTGGCTGCTTTTGGGCAGTAGTTACTAGTGCCAGGCTTTTCTCCTCGCTGATCTGGACTAAACTTTCCAGGGCTCCTGCATTTGAATGTCACAATGTCCTGGTCAGGGAGATGAAATGAATACTGTTTACTTACGGTCTTGCACACGCTGGAACGCCTGTCTCTTCTCCATGCAGCAGGGGCCCTGCATGCCTCTCTTCTCCACAGGTCCCAGTGTGCCACCCTCCCACCCGTGCCAATCTTGGGGCCTTTAACCTGCCTAGACATGCCACAGACCCCCTTCCCCTATACCAGCATGCTGCACTCCCCCATCTCCCTGTGAGAGGCCCTGTGTATCCCCATTGCCAAACCGGTTACCCCTCCTGTTTCTATCTGGGAGTTAAGTCCTGCCGAGAATCTCAAGGTTGGCAGGTGTTAGGTGGGAAGTTGCTAGTGGGTCTAGTTGCATCTGTACAGGGTCTGAGAGATGTCTTGGAGTTGAGTATCGGGCACTACTGTGTTTTTCTTGGCTCAGCAGAGTCAGCTGCTGGGCAGATGCACCTGCTGCATGGAAGGTCAAGAGGGAGTGACCTCCCTTTCCATGGACAGGTAGAAAGGACCACGTGCAGGTCTGCCTCGTAGCAGCCCAGCACTGTGGCCTTTGAGCAGCGTCTGCTGAGCAGTGACCAGAGCGCATGAGTGTGGGGAAAAGAGGACCCCCTTGTATTTGGATTCACAGAGGGGCAGTAGTGAGTTTGAAGGGGAGACAGTGCTGTGCAATGGCCAGGGCTCAGAAGGACCTATCATGTAACCACTTCTGCTCTCATGGTTTCAGCTGAGCACTACTGCCAAACAAGGAGGGGATGCTGACCCTCCTCTCTGACCTGCCTCAAAATATGCAGATGCCAAGCGCCATGTAAGAGCTAAATGTTTAGTACTGGTGATGAGGGGGAAAGAGGGAGAGTCCTTGTGCAAGGGGTGGGATGTGGAAAGCTGTGGGAGCCATCGCAGTGGAGAGGGGCTTGAGCAGCCAGAGGGAGGTTCAGGTGAGATAAGTATTACAAGAGTGCAGAAAACTATGCTCCACTATGTTACAGCTTGGGTTTCGCTCCATTTTCAGGCCCTTTTAGAAGAGTTCTTGGAGAAGACACAACAGGAGGCAGCAAAGATCGAGGAGGAGAAGCATAAACTGGAGGAAACAACAGAAGATGTTAAGGTATCGAGGCAAATGCAGCTGCTGGGCTCGTGGGATTGCAGCCCTGAGCATGGCCTCCCCTGCTACGGGGCCTGTGGATTCTTTGTCCTGTTGTTTCAATTGACTTTTTCTGCCCAGGAATCTTCAGAAAAGCTGAAATCGGAGATTTTGAACAAGTTTGCCCTGCTAATGGAAGCCCTGGAGAAGCAGCGGAGGCAGACAGTGGAGACGATCGAACGGGAGCAAGCCACTGCCCTGGGGCAAGTAGCAGAGAACTGGGCACAGCTGGAACACCAGCGGGCCACCCTCAGCCAGCACCAAGAGAAGGCCCAGGCCCTGCTGACCTGCACAGACGACAGGATGTTCCTGGAGGTATTGACGACCAGCCACAGCGAGGGGAGGGGAGGTCCTGCCTCCTTCAACCCAGAGGAAGAGGGATTTCTGGACCCCCACCCTGGGAGCGACTGCCATGGAGCCTTACATACCTGTGCCCTCTGCCCTTCCTCTCCCCTTCCCGCCCCATCTAGGATTTCTTGCAGCTCCCTTCTGAGACCCTGGAAGCTTTGCCAGCCATCGAGTTTAATGCTGCCAGCAAAGTGGATCCCATCTCTAAAATTGTCACTGAGGTCTCTAGGCTGTTGCTGGAGGATTTGCCGAAATCCCTGAACCCAGAGGTCACTAGCCCAGAAACCAAAGGTAAGCCCTTCCCTTGGTGATGTTTCTCCCATTGCCTACATGTTGCTCTGATGGGGGCAGTGTCACCCATCTCCGTGAGTCCCCACTCTGAAGGGTCCCTGTACTAGAGATGCTGCACCTGGGTGTTTGGGTGGCTCAGGCACCGCATCATGAACGTCACCCCCTGCACTTGGCCCTAGGTGGGGCCCACTTGGCCACCCCAGGCCTTATTGTAGTATTATTTAATATTTAGCTTGCAGGTTTGCCTGAAGATCAAACCCCTTTAGGCTTACCCTAGGCCAGTGGTTCTCAGCCTTTTTAGACCCAAGACACCCTCGGATTGACTTGAGGCACCCCTTGGATAATGCCAGCTCTTAGTTTTCACTCTTTTTTTTTTAGGCTACAGAAAAATAAGAGAGCAGTTTTCTTTTTGCAAATAACTCGGAGACCCCAACAATGGCTTTCTTAGTTAAAATTTCTGGGTTCATCTTGTGAATCGTGTTTGTGGCACTCAGGCTGAGAACCGCTGTTCTAGATGCTGTCCAAACAGAGCAGATGACATTTTTTCACAGCAAAGTGCTTGCCATTTCAGGCAGATAGGACAAAGGTCAGGCAGAGGTGCTTATAATATGTCCCCCCCTCTCCCCCCCCGACTGCCGTTGTGAGCACTTCACAAACTTTAATAGAAGTAACCTGATTTAGCTGTTCCTCTGCAATATGTTTCTACAGAGGGGGGACCTGAGGCACAGAGAGCCTAAGAGCTTATCTATACCGGGTCATGGGGCACAGGGCTGACAATACCCCACACACTAGTCTGGCTGCCCCATCAGACCTGGGTGACAGTGTCTGAAATCCCTTCTCAGATGCTAATATTTGAATGCTCCCTGCCTTGTTTCTGTAGCCCTCCCTTTGTCTTTCACTTTGCAGAGCCAATGGAGCCAAAGGTACCAGCTGCGCTGAAGGCAGGACCACCCCTTCTTGAGTGCGAATTAAGAGCAGGACTGCTGAAGGGTAAGGAGTAGGGGTTGAGAGCTGGGGGTGTTGATGGAAGGGGAAAGAAATGAACATGTGCGGAGAACCTTTGAAGGGACTAGTCTTTCAATATGGGGCTTGTGACACTGAAGCAGGTTAGCAAGTCAAGGCCATTCCTTGGGGTGCTTCCTAAGGAGCTGACCAAAAACTTGGAGCATTACCAAAGTGTTTTTATTGCAGGCCCTGACAGTGGGCCCTTTGTGAGCTCAGTGACGCTACATCTGATTGTAGTTTGCAAAAGCGAAATACAACGGCCAGGAGAAGAGTGGTTCGTTGCCTCACAGGGCTGTGTAGGGTTTCATTCGTGAGACGGAAGTGCTTTGGGACCTCCATATGAATGATAACATCAGGTGTAGTTCGCAGGGCACAAAATGGCACTTACTGTTACTCAGTTGAGTGATGGAGGGCATGTCTGCACCACCTCTGAGCTATGCCCCCTCATACCAAATGCTGGATGCAAGGAAATGTAGCTGCTTTGGAGAAGCCCTAAGCATGCATCCATAAATTTGACCAAGACAGAGCCTGAGAGCAGTGCTGGGCACATGCCTAGGGCTGTTCTAGGGCAGTGATGCTGCCTCATGTTTGAGCTGGCACAAGCAGCATGGGAGCAAAGGGATGAGGCATGGTTGACAGTGGCATTCCTGGATGTAGCCGAGGTGCAACATAGACATAACTTTAACGAAAAGGACCCAGTTTTCCCACTGGGAATGGCTCCTATCCCATCCCCGTGGTGAAAGTCGGTGCCATAGTTAAGTGGACTGGGGCAGAGTAATTCCTGAGTACGCCAAAGGAGGGAGTCTCTCCCTTTCACACACACCCACTCGCTCCTTCCCTCCCTGATGTTCTGCCTCTGGCTTCTGTCTCAAGCAAGACTCAGATGCCAGCTCCAGACTGGCCGTATTTAGGCACAGAGCTTTCCCCGGGGAAAGCCGAGAAGCTTAATCACTGCAAGCAGCTGCCAGGCTTCTGGCAACTGAGCACAGAGCGGGGATTTATCTCCCTGGCTGCAGCTGAACTGCACATCATGTGGCACTGCACAGGGCCTTAGAGACCAGGAAGACAGTCCCAGGAGGCTACTCCAGAGTTAGTGGGTAGCAGCTTCCTCACTCGCCCCTTCCAGGCCACCAAATCTTAAGTGATCCAGGCAGTCTCCTGCTGGGCGCAGCTCCCTGATCCTGGGAACTTCATGTCTCCACACATGCCACTGACTTAACTTCTCTTGGCATTTCTCTCGCCCTGCATCGCAGTCACCCTCTGGGTCAAATGCAGTGTTTAACTGCTGCTTTTATACTAGAAAGGACTTCCTGGGACACAGTGCTGTTCCAGGGATCACATCGTATAATCCCTTTTATAATTTTTCTCCATTGAAAATAATTAGCTGTTTTTTGGCTTCTGCTACTCCAATCAGAGGCAGTGACATCACCTGCCTGCCAGGGACTCGGAGCTCTTTGCAGGCATTCCTTAATTCAGCTGCTTAAAACTCCTGCCGTTGTCTCTATTGCTGCTTTTAGCACTGGGGAAACTGAGGTATATGGAGGTGGACACAAACTGCCCGTGGCTGCCCAGTGGCTCTGTGCAAGAGCTAAGATCTTGTGACTTCTACGCTTGCGTCCTACCCGTGGCTACTGTTCCCCGAAGCGTGCTTTGCATTCTCCATCTTCAGAGCACTGTCCAGAGCCAAATAATGACACGGGCAGGGATGAGGAGGAGGGAGAGGTTAAGGTCTAAAGAAGAAACAAAGCTTTTATATTGCCCAGGTTGAGACTGTTCATATGTGTGTTGCTTGCAGATCATAGGGATTTGACCTTTGACCCCGACACAGCCAACAGGCACCTGCAGCTGTTCAGTCACAACCAAAGAGCCAGTCACCCTCGTTCTCATAATGACCAGGGTCAGAATCATGCAAGCAGGTTTGAGCTGTGGCAGGTGCTGTGCACCCAGTGCTATGGCCAAGGCCACCACTACTGGGAAGTTGGGATCTCCAGCCACTCCATCGTTGTAGGGGTCACGTACAAGAGCATCCAGAGGAAGAAGCAAGGTGGTGGCCACAAATTCAACATTGGAAAGGATGGGTCTTCGTGGGGGCTGCAGATCCAGGAAGAATGCTACCTGGCATGGCACAATGGCCAGTCGTGCAAGGTCAAAGAGCCCTTGTACAAGTGGATTGGAGTCAGCTTGGACTGTGACATCGGGCGTCTTTCATTCTATGGCATTGGGGACAAAATGAAGCTCCTTCACCGTTTCTACTGTGACTTCAAGGAGCCCCTCTACCCAGTCTTTTGGCTTTGCGAAGGCAGAACAGTCATCCTTTACTAAAGGAACTGAGCGAGCAACTTGTAAGCCGAATCCACGCTGTCACCAATGCATTTTTCTCCATCTTGCAACTGGCGTCATGGCTTTGCTTGACAGACATAGAAATTGGTGGCAGCCTCCTCATGCTACAAGCAGGCCTGGAGAGAGCACAATGCCACTGTTTCAACAGGGACAAGGCTGGCAGGTTGCAATGACTTTAATGAGAAGAGAGGCCCTTCAAAACCAAAGCAGTGTAGCTGGAATGCAGGTTGTTTGATTTGCATATGCAAATGAGCCAAGTGGCAGTAGACCCGCTGCCTTGTCTGTTACAAAGATCTCTTTGTGGAAGAGATGAAGCTGGAGGGGTTTAAAAGGTGCCTGACATGTGCCCATTGTGCAAAGTCCCATGCCCCCTTCCAGCCCGTGTGGTGAAATCAACACAAATAAAAGGGCAGTGACTTGAGAGGCTCTACTAGAATGGGAAGAGGAAGGAAAAAGGCAGAGCTTGGTGCCCATTTCCTCTGCCCCCCAGAGCCCTGGACAGCCACCACCTGGCTTGGATCTCAGGATCCGTGGCTCTAAGGAGATGCTGCGCATAGAGGAGATGCCCTTGGGATAGGTTCTTCATGACAGTAGTGCTAAGTTGGGATGAGGAGGCTGTGTTACAGACCCAAACACTAAATCAAGGGGCATCCCACGTTGTCCAGCTTGCTGACACTCAGGGATGGCTCCGAGGAGGAATTCCAGCCTGGCCTTTCTAATCTCCTGTGTTTTCCTCTCGTCCAAGGACTCCAAGCATTCAGAGCACAGTAGAGGGCATCTACGGGATGTAAACTCTACCTGTTTATCAGCAGCCCCCTTCTGCATTAAAGTTCTGTTTTCTTATCTCCTGACAGCTTGCCTTTTGGTTTAGGATCAATGGAAGGGGCTGGGTTGGCAGCTTTGGGTAGGAGCGGGGGGAGAGGTCATTGTATCCACAAATCTCACCCGAGCTTCTCAGACCCTGCCCTGACCACATGCCTCCTCACAGTCCGGTCCACCCCTCCCTGACACAATCGTGTCCCAAATTTTTGTGAGGAAGAACTCCAGAGGGAGATGAATTTGCTTGTATGTACGAGTTAAAGAGAATGGGGTATCTGGTAAAAGGGAGGGCGGGTTGGAATCTCGTAATAACTCATAAAGCCACCAGCTGCAAAACCCCACAAGCCAGGGAGCGTTTCAGTAACTGGGTGGGGGTTTGCTTTCCACCATCGCCCAAGCTATAACACGCTAATGGAGGGAGCTGGGCCTGGTTCCTGGAGGGACAGGCTGGGATCATTTTACTGTTCTTGCTCTGGTTGCCTCCTTTGGCAGGACAGAAAGATCCTGGCTGGCGTCAAGGGAAGATGCAGCAGGCGGCTGGTGGTGGTTAAAAAGCAAAACTGGCAGCATGAAGCGTTTATTATTCACAGGCCTTACTTGGTTTCAGTTAAAATGGGCAAATTGGCAACAGCCAGATGGCAGCAAACAAGAGACAGCGCTTTCTGTGTGGGTGAGTCAGTGTGTACGGGATTGCTGAGAAGGTCTTAGATTAACTTGTATTCATGTACACGCGCTATGGCCCCTTGGTCTTCCGTGACTGTCTGTGGTCATGGCTCAGATTGGAAGTGGTATTGACAATCTTTTAGGGGCACGGAAATGGCTTTCTGGAGTTCAATATCAGCCAAACCACTGACGTGAAAGAAAGTTAAGATTTCAGAAATCAGCAGTTTGCTTCCAACTGGATGCCTTGGACCCTTCCAGTCATGAACCAACATATCATTGTTCCTGCTTCTGCACCTAACTTTCACAACCTTTCTCCTGATAAGTAACCTTTCTTCTGGGTGTTCTGATGAGACCAAAGGAAGAGGATGGTAAAAAAACGTTGTCACGAGTGAAGTTGTGCCACTCGTGCCTGTAGCCGTAGCCGTGGCTTTGAACACTAGCCACCTGAATCTACAAAGGAGGAAACTGAACGTTGATGCTCTGACAGATCCTTCCAAATTGCTGGTAATCAATTAGTTCACCTTTTGTTATACACAACCACACACACAAGCACAATCAATGAGTTCACCTTTGTTACAGACACACACCCACTTCAGTTAATCTATAAGGTCCCTGCTACATGTCACATACATTATGCAATTAGCTAGTTAATCCTGCAATAAATTTAGGCCACAAGTGCACAGTAATTATCACACAATTAACTGATTAATTACTCAATACATTTAGACCAGCCACATGTGCCAACTAATTATCACAGCCATAACATGAGCCAACCAGCTATGAAGTTAATGCTTGAAAATTTCATAGATTTCATAGACATTCAGGGTTGAGGACAGCCCCCTGCACCAGGGGCAGGAAGTCAGCAGGGATCATAGGATCCCAGCAAGAAAAACATCCAGGTTTCTCTTGAAGGTGTTCAAAGTAGGTGCTTGAACCACCTCTGGCGGCAGGCTGTTCCAGACCTTGGGGGCTGAGACAGTAAAGAAATTCTTCCTTATGTCCAGCCTGAAATGGTCTTGCGGGAGTTTATAACCGTTAGACCTCGTCATCCATTGGGGTGCTCTGGTGAACAAACGTTCCCCCAGATACTGGCGGTCACCCCGATAAACTTATAGGTGGCCACCAGATCACCCCTGAGCCTGCGCTTTTCCAGACTGAAGAGTCCCATGGCTCTCAGCCTGGTGTCGTAAGGTCTGTTTTCCTGACCTCTGATCATGCGCATGGCTCTTCTCTGGACTCTCCCAAGCTTCTCCACATTCTTTTTGAATTGTGGAGCCCAAACTGGATGCAGTACTCCAGCTGCAGCCTCACCAAGGCCGAGTACAAGGGGAGAATGACGTCCCGGGATTTGCTCGAGAAGCATCTATGGATGCAAGCCAGCGTTTTGGTCGCTTTACTAGCCGCAGCATCGCATTGCAGGCTTATGTTCATCTTGTGGTTAATCCTGAACCCCAAATCCCTCTCGTCTGTAGTGCTAGTCAGCGTAGCACTGCCGAGCCTATAGACATGCTGCAAGTTTTCCTCCCAAGGTGGATTTGCATTTTTCAGTGTTAAACACCATCAGGTTCTCATCCACTCATTTCACGAGTCTGTCCAGGTCAGCCTGGATTACTCTCTTGTCCTCAGGTGTGGATGCTTTACCCCAGAGTTTGCTGTCATCAGTGAACTTGGCCAATCTGCTTCTGACTCCAATGTCCACATCATTGATGAAGCGGTTGAACAAAATAGGTCCAAGGACAGAGCCTTGAGGGACCCCACTGGTCACCGGGCACCACAATGATTGACTTCCGTCAGCCACCACCCTCTGGGTCCTACCACGGAGCCAATTCCCCAGCCAGCGGATCATGGTGGACCCAAGGCCACATTTGTCCAGTTTTGCCAAAAGGTGATCATGGAATACCAAATCATAGGCTTTTTTAAAGTCAAGATGTATGACATCAATCTCTTCCCCCTTGTCCAGGTGATAGGTCACCTGGTCATAGAAGGAAGTGAGATTGGTCAAGCACGACCCACCTGCAACAAACCCGTGCTGGCTATCCCTCAGGATGTTGCCATCGGCCAGTCCGTTAAGAATGGCCTGTTTCATAATCTTTTCTAAGACCTTCCCTGGGATAGAGGTCAGGCTGATGGGCCTGTAGTTTGCCGCATCCACTTTCCTCCCTTTCTTGAAGACAGGCACCACACTGGCTTTCTTCCAGTTTTCAGGCACTTCACCAGAGCAGTGGGAGCTCTCAAAGATCCGTGCCAGGGGCTGGGCTATGATGCTCGCCAGTTCCCTGAGTACTCTGGGGTATAAATTGTCAGGGCCGGCTGACTTGAAGGTGTCCAGCCTGTCAAGGTGTTTGTTCACAGGTCAGCATTGATGGAGGACAGGGAACCACCCGCACTCAGGTGTCCCTGTCCCGTAATGGGCAGGGGTGTCCCATGGGACTTATGAAAGACCGACGCAAAGTACCTATTTAGTAAGTTGGCTTTTTCCTGGGCGTCGGTTGTCACTTCTCCCTTCTGGTTTAGCAGGGGTCTAATGTTGCCCTTGCTTTTCCTCCTGCTCCCTACATATCTAAAAAAGGACTTTTTATTGTCCTTGATATGTGTAGCCAGTTGGAGTTCAGTCGCAGCCTTGGTTTTCCTGGTTTGCTCCCTGCAGGTCCAGACCAGAGCAGAGTAGTCCTCCTTGGAGGTGGATCCCGTCCTCCATCCTTTGTAGGTTTTCATAGATTATTCATAGATGTAGGGTCGGAAGGGACCTTGTAGTTCTTCTAGTCCGACCCCCTGCCATGGGCAGGAGAGAGGAGGTCTTTCTTTTTAGATGCAGGAGGTCCGCTAGTTCCCTGGAGAGCCAGGGGGGCTGCTGTGCCCTCTTGCTGCCTTTCCTCCAAGACAGAATAGCCTTAGCTTGTGCATCTAGGTTCGCTCCCTTGAGGAGCAACCACTCGTCCTGGACTCCCCTCCTCTTTGGGATGTGGTCCCTTAGGCCCTCACCGACAAGTCTCCTGAGAGTGTCAAAGTCAGCCCTCCAGAAGTCGAGGACATCTACTGCTGACTGACTTGACAGCTTTTCAGCGGATGGTGAAGGTGATCAGCTTGTGGTCGCTGTCATCCAGCTTCCCTTCGATCGTTAGGTCACTGGTTAGGTCATCCCCAGTACCAGGTCAAGCAGTGCTTTGCCTCTTGTTGGCCCATAGACTTCTTGAGTCAGATAGAGCTCATCCACGCATGATAGAAAGCTTCGCGACCATTCGGATTTGGCCGAGCGCTCTTCCCACGAGATGTCTGGGTAGTTGAAGTCTCCCATGACAACCATGGACCGGGAGTGTGCGGCCTCAGCCAATTCCCTGGTGAACTCCTGGTCAAGGTCTTGACCCTGGGTAGGGGGTCTGTAGTAGACTCCCACCATTGTATCCCCTGTGCCGTGTTCCGCATGAATTTTAACCCAGAGGGTCTCTAGTTGTCCACCC